GTGGGAATTTGTTTTGTTTGACATGCGTATTTGTTACAAGGATTTCATTTTTCTTTTAAATAGGGGTAGGGAAGAAGAAGACAAAACAAATAGTTGTTAACTGAAAAATTGAATAAAATGAAGGTAAAAACAAACAAAAATAACAATGGATAGGCTTAACCCGTTTACAAGATGTTGATATTTTAAAAGAAGAGCTCCACTCATTTCTTTGTTTGGTAGAAAGACCTTTTTGAGCAATTCAGATGCTTGACAACTCTCTTGAAAAGTTGTTGAATTGTATGGCACAAAGTCCTGGCCCTTAAGTAGATGTAGAGAGAATAGGGTCAAGTGGAGGGCATCTCTTGGGCACATAGGCAGGTGCTTAATAGGCATTATTTGGTGATGACTTTGCATGGACGAGAAGGGCAGTCAAAGATCATTTTTAAGGTTTTCCATTTTATTTGATATTTGTCCCTTTAAAACAGTGGTTATTAAGCTTTTTTGTCTGTCATGGAGACTTTTGGCATTCCAGTGAGATTTATAAACTCCTCAGAATAATGTTTTTTAAATGCTTAAAATAAAATGCATGGGATACAAAAATACAGTTATAAAAATATTTTTTATAACACATTCACAGAACCCAGGTTAATAATCCCTGCTTTAAAAGTTCAAATTAAACTCTATTCTTGGAAGTATGTCCAGGGGATCTTGTTTATATCTAAATGAATAGCTACCTTATGGGGTGTCTAACTGACCAGAAGCTAAGTCTTAGCTACTACTATCTCATCTACCCCTCTATAGCATTTCTGGACTTTGTGGTATTTCCTGCTTGTGTAAGGTAGTATGCGGCACAAACCCTTTACCATGGCCTTCAGTCTTTCTCTTACAATTTTACTCTTGACCAGAGCTGCAAAACAGGTCTATCCTAGTTATTCTTGAGCCATGGGCAGGATGGCTCTTTTGCACCCCCAATTTCCTACTACTTTATTCAGGAAAGAAAGAAGGAAGGATTTATTAAGTGCCTACTATGTGCCAGGCATTGGTCTTTTCAACTACCCTGGGAGTTAGGTGCTGAGGAAACTGAGGCATACAGAGGTTAAGTGACTTGCACAGCATCATACAGCTGGTAAATTGTCTGAGGTAGAATTTGAACTGAGGTCTTCCTTATTCCAGGCCCAGCAGTTCTATCCCCTAAGCCACCTAACTGCTTAGCATTTATAAAGCACTTCAGGATTTGCAAGGTACTTTACGAATGGTATCTCATTTGATCCTCACAACCCTGTGAGTTAGATGCTATAATTATCTGTATTTTACAGATGAAGAAACTGAGTCAGACAGAGGTTAAGTGACTTGCCCAGAGTCACAAAGTTGATAAGGGGCAAAGTGGAATTTGAACTTAGGTCTTCCTGATTCCAGTCCAGTGCTCTGGTACCTAGGTACCACTTAATATCACCTAAGCTGCTAATGACTAAGCACCCTTTCCCCCAGAATACTTAACTTATGGCAAAAAAAAAAAACCCCAACAAATTTGCTGTGGCTTTGATATGACCTAACTTCTCATGTTGTGCTCAGAACCCAAGAGTCAAGATGGAGCCCTTCCTTAATTTTGTCAGGGCCACATTAAGTATCTCTAAAAGAATATAGAACCATGACAACCATGCTTTCAGCTTCTTGAAAAAGCATTTTTTAGCTGATGATTGTAATTTTGGTTGTAATATTATGATTGTAATTTTGTCCAGTGTCTAGATGGGATGATAGGTAGTTGGTATTTTAAAAGAAGAGGTTTAAAAAAAGAAAAAAGGGTAGTTGGGTCATATTTAAATTGATCTATTTCCTAGTGACTAATTTTAGATTTGTGTGGGTCTTAATTATTGCTTACTATTTGAATATATGTGTCTCCTGTGCTTAAATTTTTTTCTTCCATGGGTCCTAATAGTGCCTGGCACATGGTTGGTACTTAATAAATATTTCTTGATTGACTGAATGAAAAAAAAGTTTCTCTACCCCTACTCTACACAAAGGATTTAGTGACAATATGAGGGTAAGAGTACTGAATCGGAGTTAGGAAACCTGGGTGTGAGTCCTACCTCCAATGCTTTTTAGCTATGTGGCTGTGGGTTTAATTTCTCTGAGACTTAATTTCCTCATTGGTAAAACAAATAACATCCTAGTGTCCACATCACAAGGTTCTTTGAAGATTAAATCAGATAATTTATATAAAGTGTTTTATAAATTCTAAAGCACTGTAGAAATTCAAGCTATTATTGTTATTGGATGATTCATAAACTAGCTTTTGGAATCACATCAGCAAGGAAGACTTAACTCCCCCATCCTATCAGGAAGGTTTGATAGCCTACTGTTCCGAAGTTCTGCCATCTTGTCCCCCATCCAGAGCTTCAAAGGCAGAATGATTGAGTTTGATTGTTTGGTTACAATCTGAATGAGTGACAATAAGTTTGATGGATAAGAGGGCAGTGGGGAGGAAGCATACTATAAAGGTGATATAGATGGTATATAAAGGTAGGTAAAAGGAATGTCATTATGGGGCAGTGTTAATCAAGAAAGACTTTTGGAGGTGAGTCAAAGTGGCCCCACTGCACTGAATACTGTGCTGTGTTTATTAAATACCTCTGGAATTGAATCGAAAGTTAGATGAGTATCTAAGTCAGACACTAGCAGAAGATATGGATTAGAGAACCAGAAGAGATAAAGGAAAGAGAATGAATGAGAAATATAGCCTCCAGCTATTTCTTCTTTGGAGAATGTCTGAACTGCTCCCAGGATCCTGTACCAGGTTTCTCAATCTCCATCCATCAGGGATTATAGTATTGATAGAAGAGGAGATGGAGATCTCTTCATTCTGTCCTTCCTTGATTTTCACAGACACAGAGGAGTGCATTGATTTCTTCCTCTCACTGATATTCCATGCACCATGGATATCTGGCCTTACACTGTAGTTTCTCAGGCTTTTCTTATTTCAGAAGCGTGTAATTTTTGAGCAAGGATAACTCATAAGTAGGAGGAAATACATCGCAACAGACAGGAAGCTCTCATTCCCCAATTGATAAATGGTCAAAGGATATGAACAGGTAGTTTTCAGAAGAAGAAGTTAAAGCTGTCAGTAGTCATATGAAAAAATGCTTTAAATCACTAATAATTAGAGAAGTGTAAATTAAAACACCTATCATATTGACTAACAAGACAGAAAAGGAAAATGACATGCTGGAGGGATATGGAAAAAGAGGGACACAAATGCACTGTTGGTGGAATTGTGAAATGATCTAACCATTCTGGAGAACAATTTGGAACTGTGCCCAAAGTGCTATAAAACTGTGCAAAGCCTTTGAGCTAGCAATACTGCTAATAGGTCTGCATCTCAAAGAGATCAAAGAAAAAGGAAAAGGACCCTATGTACACAAATATTTATAGCAGCTCTTTTTGTGGTGGCAAAGAATTAGAAATTGAGGGGATGCCCATCAGTTGGGGAATGGCTGAATAAGTTGTGGTATGTGATTGTGATGGAATACTATTGTGCCTTAAGAAATGATGAGGGGGAATGGTTTCAGAAAAACCTGGGAAGATTTATATGAATTTATGCAGAGTGAAGTGAGCAGAACCTGGAGAACATTGTACACAGTAATAGCAATATTGTACAATGATCAACTGTGAAGACTTAGCTACTCTGACCAATATAGTGATCCCAGACAATTCTAAAGGACCCATGTTGAAAAATGTTATCCACCTCCAGAGAGAGAGCTGACAAACAGTGCATATTGAAGTATATTTTTTCCACTTTTTTAAGTATCTTTATTTTCTTTCCTTTTTTATTGCAGCATGGCTAATGTGGAAATGTTTTGCGTGACTTCACATGTATAATGGGCATCATATTACTTGCCCTCTCAATGGGTGGGTTAGGGATTGAAGGGAGGGAGAAAATTTTGGAATTCAAAATTTTATTATCATCATTATTATTATTTTATTTTTAGGCAGTTGGGGTTAAGTGACTTGCCCAGAGTCACACAGCTAGTAAGTGTCAAGTATTTGGTCTGAGGCCAGTTTTGAACTCAGGTCCTCCTGACTCCAGGGCCGGTGCTCTATCCACTGTACCACCTAGCTGCCCCATAAACAGATAAATCCAGCATTTTTGGGGGGAGGGGTGAGACAATTGGGGATGAGTGACTTGTCCAGAGTCACACAGCTAGTGAGTATTATGTGTCTGAGGCTGGATTTGAACTCAGGTTCTCCTGAGTCCAGGGCTGGTGCCCTATCCACTGTGCCATCTAGCTTCCCCGGAACTCAAAATTTTAAAATGAATGTAAAATAGAAAAAATAAAGTATGACATACCAAGAAACAAAAACAGAGAGGAGGCTTAGTTACCAGTGTATTCTGCCATTGTTATTGATAGGGATACGGGATAGATTAGGTTAGAGTCAGCAAGATCTGGTTTCAAATCCTGCTAGGGATACTTATAGATAAGTGATTTAACCTGAGCCTCAGCTTCCCTATCTGTAAAATGGAGCTTACATATACCTGCAATACTAGCTACATGGGGTAGTTGTAAGGCATAAATGAGAGAGTTTGTGTAAAGCACTTTCTAAATTGTAAAGCTTATATAAATATCAGTTGTTATTACTTATGAGATATTCAACCCTGGTCAAGTGTCTTTACCTCCTTGGGCATCAGTTTCCTCATTTGTACAGTGATTGGACTGAGTTATATGCTCTCTAAAGTCTTTCCCAGCTTTTTCAAAAGATGATTCTATGATTTTTTTTTTAGTAGATCTTGGTGAAAGATGTTGTGTGCAAAGTAAGAATTTTGGATGTGGCCTAAAGTATAAAAAGAAATCTCTCTGGTACTTAAATCCCCACCTTTTTCTTTATTTCCCCAATGCGTTTCCCTTTGAGTGTGATGAGTGAGTTATCCTATAATTAAGTCCAGAGAGAGGGCAGGGATGGAAGAGAGAGCTCTCTTCCTGTTTGGGTGAGGATGGGCTGGCTAACAGTGACTCCTTGGATTTCAGGTGCTTGTTGGGGCTGTGAAGCAGCTGTTTCCTGAATTTGAGTTCATGTGGCTGGTGGATGAGGCGAAGAAGAACTTGCCTCTGGAGTTAGACTTCCTCAATGAAGGCAAGAATGCAGAGAAAGTGGCTGAAATGCTTAAACGCTTTAAATTCTTAAAGGTAGGAATGAGGGAGAGGATAACTGCTAAGTGGTCTAGATGAGAAGGGTGCTGGGTGCAAAGCGCAGAGATGGCTTCTCATTGTGCATTGGCTACTGCCATCCCCCTAGGAAGAGTCACTCACCCTTGGCCTCAGTTTTCCCATTTGCAAAATGGGGATAGTGTAACCTTGATGTATCCTTCTTCGGATAATGAATAAATTAATACTTGGGAAGCGGATCTGAATCCTTATAGAAAAGACTCTAAATCAGACATTCTTAGCCATTTTGTATCATGGTCCCTTTCAGCAATCCTTGCTCAGAATGTTCCCTCTGCCTGAAATATATATATTTTTGTGCGTATGTATGTGTGGGTGTACATTTCACCTGTCAAGTTCCATATATTAAAGCTTATTTGGAATACTATCTTTTCCCCTCATCTCCTGGTCAGCAACGACTTTTCCCCTCAAGCCTCACTTGGTTTTGAGCTACTCTTTTGCATTTATCATATAATATCATATTTTTTACAGATTAACTTTTAATTTTGATAAAATCAGAATAGGTAGCAGTTCAGTTCTGGCATCTAAATTAATATGATAAGCAGTTACTAAGTCTGTGGTAAAAAGGAGCAGCTAGGTGGTATGGTACAGTGGATAGAGTGCTGGGCCTAGAGTCAGGAAGACTCAGCTTCCTGAGTTCAAATCTGGCTTCAGACACTTACTACCGCTGTGACAAGTCACTTAACCCCATTTGCCTTAGTTTCCTCACTTGTAAAACGAGCTGGAAAGGGAATTGGCAAACCACTCTAGTATCTTTGCCAAGAAAACCTCAAAAATGAGGTCATGAAGAGTCAAACAAAACTGAAATGACTGAACAACAACAATGTGTAAGGCACTGTACTATCCCCCGGGGGCCCAAAGACAAAAATGAAATAATCCTTTGCCTCTAAGAGTTTTTATTCTCCTGGGGGTGTGAGGAAGAGGGATGACTGGCAAAGTTCTCGGGCAGAAGTTGGGGGTTTAACCTGAGTCTTAAAGGAAGCCATTATTGTAATTATTAGCTTGTACAACTCAACTCAAGGAAATGGAGAAAGATCTGTCTTGCTCTGGACCAAGCTAACTAAAAACTACTTTATGAGAACTAGTATTTTTAGAAGTGTCTTCTTTATTTCTCACCAAGACCATTCTGAAGAGATGAGAATGGTCCAAGAGGCATTTACCCTTGCTGCTTAAAAAGCCCGTGGATTTGCCATCAGAGCTGAAAAAGCCAGACCCAAGGCCATTATCATTGTCTGGGAGGAGAAGCAAAACTAATTACCCTCGAGCTGAATTCTGCTTTTGTCTTGGGGTTGTATGTACATTTTGGAAGAAACAGGAAAGTACTTCTACCAGGGAAGAATTCAGATTGCTGTGTGTGCTCTGGGCTAAATATGTCCAGATGTCCTCTCTCCGGTGGATTGGTAACCACCAGTCTGTTTGGCTGGCCTTCCTTTGGCTGCTTGTGTAGATAGAAATGTAGAGTTCTTCCACTTCATCCAAATCCAGACAATTGGACAGAACCCCTGGGAAGCAGCCGTGAAATCACCATAGGTCAGCTAAAAACTGGTTTCCACAAAAACGCACACCTTGGAGCAAGCAGGGTGCCCATCAGAGCTGTTACTAGGAGACTGACAAGTAGAACCCTCTACTGTCCCCATGGAAACAGCCAATCACTTGCCAGCTAGGGCCAAAAAGCCATAACTGTACTGATGATGTAATTATAATAATAGTACCGCTTAAGGGAAAAAAACCAAGGATGCCAAATGGATAAATAATTAATCTACTGACTTAAACTGTGACTTCCCAAACGTGCACACTACCCCAAAGATGGTAGTGGAATTCAGCTCCTGAGTAATTAATTTTGCCTAAGCACATAACAAGTGGGAAGTGAATTTTGTGCTGTGAACCCAGTTGAGCTCTTAAAGCCAGAGATAAATTGTTTTTATATACTGGCATCTCACTGAAACATCTGTGAGTAATTAAGCCTCAGCAAAGAGTTTACCTCTTGGTGTGTGAGGCATCTTCCCATGCTTATGTTGGGCTTAATAACTGCCTTAGTTCAGTGCAGTAAATCTCAGAGTTACACACAGCTTCCAAATACAGGGATGGCACAAGGGGCAGGGAGCTTAAGGGGAAGCTGAGTGGGTTGGTTACAATCTGGGCAATTAATATGGATCTGGTCTATGATGGGTTACTACAATTTGGGACTGGCAGAAGATGAGGGCTAGAGAATTGGGGCCAAGTTGGGAGATGAGAAACCTTCTCATAACTCTAGCATATGGATGGAATAAGAGATGTGGCAGGGAGAAGCCGGGGTGAACACTCCATGGGGAGAGGGGGAGGGGAAGTGTCCTTAATTAAAAGGTAATTACTGGCAAATATCTGGATTTTTGGAATATTGTTTATAGCCAATTTTTGTCAGTTTCCCAAAGAGATTTCAGTAATCTCTGGAGAATTCTCTAAATTAATTTTCATTCACCTTAATTTAACAACAACAAAAATCAATAGAAGCCAGAAGGTATTCTTGAAAGAAAAACAACTAGGGGTGGCTAGGTGGCACAGTGGATAGAGCACCAGCCCTGAAGTCAGGAGGACCTGAGTTCAAATCCGGCCTCAGACCAAACACTTGACACTTACTAGCTGTGTAACCCTGGGCAAGTCACTTAACCCCAATTGCCTAACCCCCCCAAAAAAAAATAGGGAAAAAAAAGAAAGAAGAACACCTATAGGGAAGTAAATGAGAAAATGATGAGTATTATAGCTCTCAAAAAGTTGAGAATCACTGGTCTATGTTATGGGACTGGATGTTTTAGAAAAGCGCTAGATAGTTCATGTTTCTCTCTTTGTTATGAGGGCAGATCTTTAGTGGAGAGTACCAGACTCTTTGGAAGTGAATTTCCAAAAAGGCCTTTGAGGGCCTACTAATTCACTGCAAATTTCAGCCATCTCCACTCCGAATGTTCATATGGACTATTTGTGCCCAACCTGTGGTGGAGCCTTCTGTGCTCCCACTGGTCCGATCAGCTAGTCGGACACACTGTACCTTGACTCCCACGTAATGATGTCATTTTGTTCCTCTTCAAGCATGAAGGGGTGGGGCAGCTAGATAGTGCAGTGAATAGAGCACTGGCCCTGGATCAGGAGGACCTGAGTTCAAATGCAGCCTCAGACACATATTTACTAGTTGTATGACCCTAGGCAAGTCACTTAACCCCATTTGCCTTACCAAATTAAAAAAAAAAAAGGAATAAAGGACAACCACAGATTCACTACTGGTGGAACTGTGAATTGGTTCAACCGTCTTGGGAAGTTATTTCTAATTATGTAAGAAAAGTTACAAAATTGTTACTACTCATTTATTTCATGCTCCTTTTATTAGATTGTACCTCAAGGAGGTTATTGACAGACAAGATCCATCTGCACAATAATGTTCATTAATAATAACTTGATTTGTAGTAGCAAAAAGTTGGAAATAAACTATATGCCAAACACTTAGAGCAAAGTTTCTTAATCTGGGTCCACAGACCCCAAGGGGGCTGTGAATAGATTTCAGGAGGTCTCTAAACTTGGATGTAAAAAAATTCATCTTTATTTTCACCATGATGATTTCCTCTAAGTATGTTTTGCATGATTTCACATGTATAATTGATATTACATTACATATTACACATTCCCAATAGGTGAGGGGGGCGGGAGGAAGGGAGAGGATTCAGAACTCAAATTTTAAAAAGATAAATGTTAAAAATTAATAAATAATTTTTAAATAGAAAAGCCTATAATTGGTTTCTTTTATAAGCTTATGTCTTATATACTATTCATTAAGAGTATTATTCAAATCTGGCCTCAGATACTTGATACTTACTAGCTATGTGACCATGGGCAAGTCACTTAACCCCGTTGCCTAGCCCTTCCCCCCCAGAAAAAGAAAAAGAGTATTATTCTGTGGGGGGGCAACTAGGTGGCACAATGGACAGAGCTCCCTCCTTGGAGTCAGGAGAACCTGAGCTCAAATCAGGCCTCAGACACTTGACAATTACTAGCTGTGTGACCCTGGGCAAGTCACTTCACCCCAATTGTTTCACCAAAAAAGGAAAAAAAAAAGAATATTATTCTGTGAAGGAATCTGTAGACTTCGCCAGATTGCCAAAGGGTTCCATGAGCTTAAGAACACTTGGTGTGGAACACTGGTAAACAAATTAAGGACTTTGAATATACTAGAATATCACTGTGCTTATAAGAAATAGTGAAAATAAAGAATTCAGAAAAACATATCAGCTGTGGGCATGAGGGGGAATCCTTTTACTTCCTGGTACTGTAGATAACTTTCTAAGGATATAAGTTACACATCTGTGTCTGTGGAAGAGGTTTCTACATGGGAAATTTCCTCATGCTGATGGAATTTTAGGTCATTTTCTTCCCACCCCATCCCCACCTCCAGCCAAAAAAAAAAATGTTGCATGTATTTTCAGTTATAATCACCTTTTTTGTGATTTTGTGATGTTTTTTCGGCCTACCTAGTTTAAGAGAATGTAATTTTTTGAGGATTGTTTAAATTTGTTTAGTTTTTTTCTTCTGTGACAAAAGAACAATTTAGGAAGAAAAAGAAAAAAAGCCTGTTGTAAAGAGGTGTTGTGTGGGGATGGGTGTCAGATTTTTATAAATCAGGCTGATATTTGCAAATATGTGAATTTGTAAAATTTCCCAAGTTAAAAAAGGAAGAATGTGACACTTTTTTTTCCTGTTATAATCATGTGGTTCTAGTAAGTAATTTAAGCTCTGTATAAGAAGGCACCACAGTGTGTTTCCCCCCGAAGTAAGCTTATGGTTTATAGATTTAGATCCAGAAGGGGGCTTAGAGGTCGTCTAGCCCAAACCTCTTATTTTCCAGAAGAGGAAACTGAGACCCAGAGACATTAAGACAACTTGCCTAACATCTCATAAATAATAACTAGCAGAAGTGAAATTTGAACTCAGGTCCTCTGTCT